CAATGGTATCAAAACTAACATTATTCTAAATAGATTTAACAGTATTAAATAAGATTAAAAATAAGATTAAAGTTGGTTTTTAATTCGGTAGTAATAATAATACATAAATATTTTCGTGTTATTTATATTTTAATGCTTTTTTATTTTTGATATTAAAGTGTAACATTGTCAAATGATTTTAATATAGGCTTTAAAAACAAATGTCAAATTAAATACAAAAAAATTATATCAAGCAGATGGTTATGCTGTAAAAGAATTATTAAAAGTAGCTACATTATTATATGAAGCTCAAAATAACAGCAACAGTAATGATGTAATGTCTGATGACAATTTTAGTGTAACCAATTTTGATATCTCTGATAAAATAAATGAATTAAAAACGACCAGACAATTGGCTAGTCAACTAACTGTCACAGGTGCATCATTATTTGACTTATTAGGACGTGAAGTTGATCTTAGAGAAATTCGTAATTCAAAGGCTGCTAGACAATTTGACACTTCAGAAATTGAAACTGCCTTGAAAACTGTCATTGGAAGTATACAGAAAGAAATTGATGATACTAAGAAGCAAATTGAAAATGTCAAGGTATTACCATTTTTTCTTATTCTTGAAATATTATTTCATGTTATTCTTGGTTTTTGGTGTAATTTCTTGAAGTATTGCAGGATACAGAACAAAACTTGGATACAAGAATTGAAAGACGACGTGCAGAACTGGACAGAAATCAGAAGAGACTACAAACATTAAAAAAAGTACGTCCAGCTTTCATGGAAGAATTTGAGAAGCTTGAAGTTGAATTAAGAGCTTTGTATGATGATTACATTCAAAAATTTCGTTATCTTGCATACCTTGAGCATATGTATGAAGATGTAGCTAAAGCAGAGCAAGAAAGATTTGAAAGACGGTGTGTATACACACTATATAAAGTAAAATTTAATTGGTAAAGAACTTGGTAGAATTGTTAAACAAGCTATTACTTTGTAACTCATAACAGACAAGAAGCAACAAGAAAACAATTGGAGAAAATGAGAGCAGAAGATGCTAACTTTGAAAGCATGATGGAAGGCAATGATTCTATATTACCAACAAATCTTCAAGATCCCCCACCACCACTGGCTCACATAGAAAAACAAACCACTGAGAAAGCAACACCGAGCAGTCGATTGAAATCAGGTAAAAACATAACGCATCTTTTTTTTAGTATTCTTAAGAAATTTCGTACAATATATTTTTCATAAACAAAGTTAGAATAAAAACTACTAAAACTTCCTTCTAAAATATATGTTTGTAAACACAATAGCTAGTCGATCGTCAAGAATGCAAATGTCACAGCGTCGTATTTACGGCAGTATGTCAGGACGTCAAAGGGGAACTATTCAAGAATCAAATGACAGTGCTGGTTCGCTGGACAGTGATAGTGATTTATTGATCGATGGTGATCTCGACGATGACGACGACGACGATATTCTAGATTCTGTAGGAGGAGCAGAAATTGGGAATTTTGATTTGAAGGTTGGACAAGAAAAACGAGCTGTTAGTAAGCTAGATCATTCGGATGAGGATTTTTAACCATTACAAAAACAATTACAAAAACTTCAAAATATACCGTCCATATAATTATCGATCTGTATGCGCATATTTTTACAATAGCTGTAAATAGATGTTAATAAAAAGTAATGTATCGTTATACTTCTCGTGATCGGATAATTTTGACGGTGGTAAAAAAGTCTTAAGGTATATGTATGTGTATATATACGACATATGTGTGTTAAATAATTTCAAATTCAATCATTCGTATAATTGTACATGTATTCCAGACTTATATTATGAAATATATTTTTAAGGGAATCAAAATACATATTGTCGTCGTATAATATTTATTAACTTTCTCAACACGATCAGCACCGATCACATGTACGTATTCACCTATCCTACATGTTGCGTACGTAAATGCACGTACACACCTGTGTATACACATATATACATAAATGTATGTGCGCGTAAAAAATGTGATATTATGAAAGAAATAGAAACAGTTTGCCGTATTCATTGTCATAACGCTCAAATCTGTAACTTCTATCTAGCTGACATTAATGCTCCCTCTTATTGTTGCCATTTGTGAGCACGGTTAACAATTATGTTTATCATCGAATGCAACTAACTATTATGTAACAACGTTGTCCAAAATCCAACATTCGGGGAATAATGAAAATTATTCTCGAGACTACCCGACAACAGATAAAATTGTAAAACGCAACTGATTATTAATTCACGTTAAAAGATGAATCTTTCTCCGAACTGAAATGTATCTTGTAGCGTAACCAACCGATCGAAATACAAATCGGCTGCGTGTAAACGGCATTTTAAAAACATTACGCATCTTACGCGTTTGCTATCAGATTAAATACTAGGATGTTCTAGATACATATTATACATACATAAACTACGACTAACTGTAAGTATTGATCCTATGGATATGCGTACGTTTTTCTTTTATACGTTGTGCGGATTTATAGGTGTCGAAAAAAACGTATCAACAAGAGAACAATGTAATATCGGGATATTTCACGTTATAGCCGGTGTGTGTAATGTAGACCGAAAACGTAGGCCCGTTGAGATTCGAGTATTTTCTAATATACCTATTATAGTCGATTTCACGTTAGATCAGCTTCGTTCGAACGGAAAGGAAAAATACGTAAATAAGTGAATGTAACCACCGTATAAAATCGTGAAAGAAGCACCATAACGTGTAAGAGATGCAGGATCGACCGGGAAAGTCGGCCGTCCGTACTTTCTCGGCCGGTCATGAGTCTTTCTCACGTAGAAAAATATTATTCCATCAGCTTTTCAATGAGCGTCGTCGCGCCTTTCTCAATACAGTGCCCTAGACAACACACTACTCCGTTTGGTTCGCCGATAGACAACCGCTGTCCTCCGTGTTCTTCAAGCGAGGTTCGTCAGGCATGGACCGCAAAAGGGTAGAAAAAATCGCGTGTGTCTATGTGGTTCACCCCATAAATCCCAGATTTCGCTGGAATTCGTCTAGGCGGATACAGCCAGAGTCCGTTTTGAAGAAACTACGGGCCACCGTAGTTGTAGAAATAGGTTCTCGCTACCTTTGGTGTACCAGTGAAATTACTGATATCCCAAAGAATGTCGACAATGGTCTTTCGCTACCTGACCGATTTCAGCACGGTGTTCACTTTTATCCGTGGTGTCACCGCCGGCACCGGTTCCAGCTTCGGTAACGAACATTCGCTGCTCAGGTCCGTCCAGGTTCTGCCAACACTATCGCCTAGTCTATCCTTGTATTTGTAGGCCGTTCTATCGACTACCGATTGAGTCTTTATACAGTCGTCGCCGCCGAACTCGCAGACCCGATAATGGTGGAGAATCGCGGCATCCGAGGGCACGTTTAACGTCCCGTGTCCAGGAATAAATTCCCAGACGAAATGATTGCCAGCCTCGACGACGTCCTGAGGCTTGCAAACGTACTTCGAGCGCTGTTTGTGCGGATGTAGCTTTGTTCTGCGTGTCGTTTTCCGTAGAGTGATCAGACCAGCTTCGATTGGCGTTCGACTGGTCACCACGAATGGATCATCCGCCCATTGTAGATAAAAGAAAGCGTTTTGAAAGGAATATGCTCCGGTGGATTTGGTATTTATACGACTGCTCATCCACCTGAAAGACACGATGAAACATGTGTTAAATAGCATTGATACGATAATCGAGTGCAAGAAGGTTTATTGAAAAGTTCACAGATTGTGTGTGTTAGGTCATCTCATAAGTTTGTGCGGAAATTTATGATTTAGATCGACATTTGATAAAAAAAAACACATGTGTTAAATAGCATTGATACGATAATCGAGTGCAAGAAGGTTTATTGAAAAGTTCACAGACTGTGTGTGTTAGGTCATCTCATAAGTTTGTGCGGAAATTTATGATTTAGATCGACATTTGATAAAAAAAACGAACGTTGCTATAGAATTTCTTTGGATTTTCATTACAATATTTTTCGCTTTCGTCACGAACTTATGGGACGACCTAATATGAAGGAGCGTTGCTAGGTGCTTGTAATTTTGACCGTACAACGTGTAATCAATTATGTACTGATATATAGAGTTTCGTGGCTCAGTCATTTTCTTTTTCTCTCTTTAACCCCTTAACCTTTAACAACGCGCCAGACTCGTGGCAGAGATTCTGATCAAGATGTGACCAAGATAGTTTGAAAAACTTTCGTTTGAATTTGTAAGACTGAGGATTACTAAATGTAATTAATCTGTGACAGCTTTTGTTGCCTGATACACAGTACTAAAACAGTAAATGGCTGACGCTTAGGTGCTTAGTCAGAAAAGAAATCATATGTTAAGGGGCTAACAATCTAGCGAAGTAGAGGTATTTGTAGCGATGGAGAAAAGTGGAAAATTATTCAAGGTCCCTGCAGTGAAGTCCTTCGTCACATTCAATCGTTTCTCACTTTTGTCCATCTCACCGCACTTCTTCCCCAATTGCAAAAGAGGAGCAAACAAGTGACGAAGCCAAGTACTTAGAACTTCTCAATCGACCCTCGCAAGTGTTTGAAACGAACGAATACTCACCTGATGAGATCAACGATCGTGTCGTTGTGCCTCGGTATAATAAACTCGTCAAGGTCGACCAACGCCACGTACTCGTATTTGTACATAGATCGATAAAGGCAATCGTTCAGTGCAGCGAATAATCCCTCAGTACGAATCTCTCGCTGCGAGATCATGTCTAAATGATGCCAAGGTAACACGGTCACGAGACCTTTTGCCTCGTAGTATTTCAGAGCGCATCCCGCCTCCGAGCCAACCGTGTCGTTGTACAGTGTCACATGGCTAGCACCGAGCAGTCTGTGTAGCTCGATAAATTCTACAAGCTGTAGAACCTATAAAATTTTCACCGGTTAATACCTCCGTTGGCGACACCTCCGCAACTGCCACGTCCTTCCTTCTCCTTCCATTTTCTCTCTACTATTTTTTTAACCCACTCGTCCGAACACTTTATCGATTAGACCCGTTCTTTATCGTGACCCGGCACCATCAACCGTGGACTAAAACCTTCGCCCCGTCTTATCGCGACCAATTACGATCTACAGCGAAATAAATAAGACAGCTGAACCGAAGAAAGGCTGAAAACACAACCAGAGAGAGAGAGTGGCCCTACGCGCGCACACGATAACTTCGCTTCTACGAAAACGATTTTCTCTGATTTGCATAAAAGTGGTTCCACGGTGGAAGACTGTACACGGTCGAGCGGGTTAATCGCGAAACGTCTTTGCACCCCTCCTGTGTTCACGTTACGAAAATTGTTCTCAAGGTTCTCTCTGTTTACCGCAAGAAACGTACATACTCTGTTATAATCGTAATGCAGGGGTTTCACGCAAACGGCCAACAACTCTTTGTCCTTCGTCCTACTCTCCGGCCGATTCTGCACGAGGATACGATTCGTCGGGGCTGCTTTCAGCCTTGCCACCACGCTCACAGTTTCCGGCACTCTGTCAGCGGTGTGCGACTCTTTCGGCAACGGGCAAATCACAAAGCAGGCACTGTACTTCAAGCTCCAATTCTCTCTGATTACCTATCGAAAACGATCATACGGTGTAACCGTCAGTTTCGTCCAAGCTCACGAAGGTATCAACGTCTAACTAAATGTTTCTACATGGAGACCCCGTCGACGAATTTTTCACCGAGGAAAATGGAAATTACACGTAGCGAGCAAGTCAACGGGAGTACGTTGCCTCTAATTTATCCAACATACGGGTTTTTTTTTTATTAAGACAGGGTTGTGTAAGTAGGAAAGGGAAGAAACTTGTTGGAGGTACTAGAAAAAGTAAAAAAAAAAAAAAAAAACAAGAATAGAAGAAATTGATATTATGCAAAGTAACGTGTCGACATCTACACACATGCTGGAGTATATGTATGTCACTTTTTCTCGCTTCTTTAATTTCTTTTTTCTCTCTATCTCTTTACAAGCGCCCCTCGTTCTCAAAGGCAACATTATGCGAGAGTACCGTTGTATTGAAATTTTCTTTTTCTTGTTCTTCCTCAACACACCTTCACTTTAGCGGCTACTGTTACGGAAGCGGTAACGTTTCCTCCGTTCTCTGGTCGATACCAAAGTCTACACCAAACACGCTCTGGTCCTCTTGTCTTTGTTGCGCTTATTATGCGTACCATGCCCTGATTTTTACCTGTTGGTGTGCCCGCACCACCAACCCTGTCATCGAAGTACGCTGAGTATACAAAGAATTTGAATCTGAGAATTGAAAAAAGAAATACGATCTCTTTAGAATTGGACCTGCTGCGTAACAATAAATTATGCATACTACGTTCTATTGTAAACTATATTCGCAATGACGTCATACATGTATATTAAATCGCGCCGGGAAATAATGATTGTAGAAGAACGTATAAAAAATCGCACAACATAATAAATACGTAAAGTTTCTGTAGTGTCCCTGTCCTGAATTTCCTCTGCCTTTTGTCGCCCGGAGAAAATTTTCTTTTCCCTTTTCTTTCTTAATACAATTTCGAGGCCTTTTATGCGAGAACTGAATTCGGTGTTATAATAAAATATGCTACGAATAGAGGGGATCTTACAGGAAATTCAGCTACGTATAAAAACGTGACCTAAAAACGATCCTACTTCGATTCTTTATATATTCTTAACATTTCCCTGTTCTTTCTTTCTTTTAGTTCTATGGTTCGCGCGCAAATGCTCGTTATTTGTCAAATTGTTCTTTACTTTTCACAGTTGTTCCGCAGGAGTGTCTAAATTAGTTTAGACGTAACATTATGCAGAAAATATTCAGCTGAATGAAAACAGAATTTCGAATAAAAATATTCACACTGTAGCAGATATCGAAGTTTTATTTTATTATTGATAAAAATAAGAATAGCCAATCGATCAGTTCTGTGTTGCATACATGTATCTGATAGTAGACGTTATAAAAAGACTTTGAGCTTAATATTCTGTTAGAAGTTACTTCTACCAGTCTACTACTATTTCCCTCGTTCAAGCCATTCTCTATGAGAGACCACTTCCCCCGATCAAAGATCTATATAAAGCATCTTTTAAAAATTCACAGTATCTAGAACACCGGAATCCTACAGAAAATAAAACTCGAAGAATCAACTTACCGAGGAAAATGTTTCGATTGACATTGCAACTGTCGAAATGGTTAACTGATAAATCTGAGAATAAATAATACTACTTCGTTTAATGAAGTTATTTATTGTTACAACTAAATGCTTTATTTCAATGTGGAAAAACGGAGATTCGTTGATAATGTTAAGGGAATACATCACGTAAATAGGTGAGGTTTGGGAATTTTTCTCTCCTCCATTTTGTAACATTTTCACTTTTCAAAAATTGGAGAAGAAAGCTGGAGGTTACATTTATATCTCCTAAAAAAATTGAATTTTTCCATTTAGCGGTTATCTACGAAAAAAATTCCCAAACTTTTACCTATTTTCAGAAGCCTCAGGATGGGTTTGCATCCCTTAAACTTATAAACTTTCTATTTAAATGTGGAAAAGCGGAGATTCGTTGATAATGTTAAGGGGAATACACCACCTAAATAGGTGAAGTTTGGGAATTTTTCTCTCCTCCATTTTGTAACATTCTCACTTTTAAAAAATTGGAGAAGAAAGTTGAAAGTTACATTTATATCCCCTAAAAAAATTGAAATTTTCCATTCAGTAGTTACCTATGAAAAAAATTCTCAAACTTTTAGCTACTTTCAAAAACCTCAGGATGAGTGTACCTCCCTAACCTAACCTATAAACTAAGGACAAAAAATAAACGAACCAAGCATGCATATCTAACTCTCTCAACGTAATTATCTCGTATCTATCCTATCTAAATAAAACAGAGAAATTAGTAAAACATACTCTACGAATGGTTCTCGAATTATTCTCAAAGCAATGTATTATAATAAAAAAGAAGAAGAAAAAAAAGAAAGAAATCTACGGTGTAATAAGCGGTTGATTTCGATCAACTAAGAGGATCTGACCGACGTTAAGCGTGAACAATTATCGTCGATAAATATTCAAGAAGCTTTATCAGCTCATGAACACACCTAGTCTTCGTGACTGGCAACCATTCAGCGTGCGTGATCCTCAAGCTCTGATCGAGTTGTGGTAGACGAGCTTCCAGATTGGGTGGTAAGCTCGGTAAACCTCTCGGGTCCGGTTGTATCGCGGTCTTCTGTCCTCCGTCTTCCCCTCGCATCAATAATCCGATATGATCGTCGAAGCTGCCCTTCAATCCAATATAATCTTCAGCCTGTGAAAGCCAACAGAACGTTTAATCATTACAGTACACAGTGACCGCAGATGTTGCTTCACCATGGCAAACGTGTTTTTTTAATGTCCTCGCTGTAACTGGAGATTAATCTTTCCCGTGTTGTTACTTATAACTTCTGGTTTATTCAGACGTCTCGTTAAGAGGCTTTTCTGGTCTAGCAAAGTGGGCATTTACAATTCTAATCGCGTGTGGTATTTGTAATTGTTACTTGATCCTCCGTAGGTAATCTGGGTCTTCGACGACCCAAATGAAGTTTCACTCCTGTGGTTCTTCGAAACGAATTTTAATTTTTATTCAACTTTGAAACATTTGACTTAACGAACAATTGTACGATGTGTTAGAGACTTTGATAAGTAGTTCAGAATTTTTGCGAACTTTTTCGAAGCTTGAAACGGTAAAAAAATTAAACTTGGACACAAACTACCTAGTTTACCTACGGAGGGTTAATTTTTACTTTGACAAGTTATTTATAGAAATTTGTTTTTAATTTATAATCGTGTTTGGAGTGATAGTGACAATCTTAAGGATTAAGAAAACGCTTAGTTTAGTTATAGCACATAACTCCGAATGTTGTGAAAAATGCAAGCCTTTATTACTGATCTTACGCAGCCAAAAGATGAATAAAAGTATATACAAGGAAGTTTTCTGTCGCCTAGGAAAGAATACACGATTTGAATTACATTTCTTCTCAATTTTTTACATTTTTTTCTCAACAGTAATTGTTACCTTCTAAGCTAATAAAAATGATCAGTTTACGATTTCTGTATATTTCAATTTTAGCTCTTATAAATTCATACATAATTTCGTAAAAGCCTTGTGACATTTTATGCGATAAATATAAAAATATTATTTTGCGATCATCACCGTTAGTCGTTAAGCCTTGAAATCATCAAATACCACGATCCTCCAGCTTTACAGTAACCGAATGTCAATTTGCGTAGCTGTGAAATCGTCAAACTTGTTAGGCTTCGCAGAGTTATTGATATTGGTTTGTACAGCTCTGGAATTAGTACCACAGGCTTACACGATGCTAGACTCTTCGATATCAAGTGTCATCAGTCGGGATTGCTGACGTCGATACGCTATTTTCCCTTTTCTTTCAGTGCTTGCTACCTCGATGCTCAGTAGAACATGTACTTATACGTGTATTAAGTGTTTCTGATATATTTGGATGAAAAGTTACTCTACGTATCGTCAGTTTTTTAGAATAGTGTTTTAAAAAATCGTTAATTTTGAGATATCTGCAAAAAGTAACTCTAAAAATGAGCTATTATATTTTTATGGGAAAAAGTGTCGCTAAAATTAAAACCAAAATTCTGTTATTTTACAAGAGCAACGTCTCAATCGAAGATAGGGCTGTTTTAACCCTTTTTCAATAGTAAGAAATACGCATAAAGAATATTGTATTAGAGACCCTCAAAACGCAAAGATACAATTTAGCTGATAAAGTAGAAAATTTTGTTATCTCACGAATGGACTGATAGTTCTCCTTTTTCATTCGGTATTTTATTTTTCTTCTACGTTGAAATAAATTAATTTCTTTACATAGTGTAATTACAATTTACTGTGAGTCACAAGTTACTCTGAAATTAACTTATTTTAATAACTATTAATTTAGAATTAAATAACCTTTTTTTTCGATGTACACGGTTTTTCGTATAAAAAGCCACGATTTCGATTTACACGCTATCCCGGGGGAACCGATTTTCCGTGTAAATCGGGGGAAACACGTATTTCGTTTATCATGAAAAACGGGTATTGTAGTTGAAAGAAATATAAAAACAGCAACGTGTTAACGATAAAAGCGGTTGCAGAAGAGGCATTACACAATAGAGAGACACTCTACCGTCGAAAGTCGAGTATCGAAATGCATTTAGTTCATGAACAATCCTCGTATGAATTTTTCGAGTGCCATTTCGAACCGGCGTTAACACCCGAAAAATTTCATTTTCACGGATTTTTTTTTTTTCATCCCCCTTTCGCCGGATTATACGGGTGACACACACGATCATACAGGCGTGTACCGTGTATGCACACAGACGTGATGTGTGTATACATGTACCGCACAGCTTTTGTGCATTTTTTCATTGCACGATGATCGATCATTCGACTGGATTTCCGAGGCACACGGCGGCGCGGTGTGAAAAATGGCATCATCTTTCTTCGGTTATGGGCTACCGAGGAAAATTCTTCTCCCATTTGTGCGCGCAAGTTACAACAGCCGGGGTTATAAACATCGGGGGGTGAAATGAATTTTTATTTGAATAACGCGCCTCTCCCTTCCATTCCGCGTGGACTTTTGCATAATTTTGTATTTGAATAACATTAACTGCCGCTGCCACAATGGCGGTCATAATTATTCAAATGACAGTGAATTTTAAATTCCTTTATCCCGGCTAGTACGCGGCCGTTCTACGAGTTAACAACTTTATCCTCCGAGGAGGAATATGTTTTTTGCATTTTCCTTCTTAATTCACCGTCGGTATAAAGATGTACGGGGTGAGTTACCCCGAGTAACTTCTAAGATATCTGTTTTAACGAGAAATTGCACGAATAGAATCGAATAGTTTGATTTCAATTCTTCTCTCTAAGAATCGTATAATTTATAGAAAATTCAAATAATTCATACTTTTATGTAAATTATTATTTTATTGTTGTAATTTGATCTTCTAACTATATAATCCTACCGTGAAAGGAAAATACCATTCGCTTTTAAAATAATTCTCGCTTGAAATTGTAACCGGCTCTCACAATTTTTACAGGTTTTAATGAAATAAATTCCAGAAGAATGAATGTTCCTCTGGAAAGGAACGCAACGCATTGTTTTATCAAAGCAGTTTAACGTTATCTACTACCATAGTAAAGGCTTACAAAAATTCCCATTTTTTCCTCCGGTAGCCGGAAATCTTATCTCTATACCCCTCTGTAAATGGAGTTATTTAAAAGTTGCGATAACTTTATGCTTGAACCGCGTAACTTCGTTTCTGTTATACAAAGAGCCAACGAACAGCGGATTTTTCAGGGAAAAAAGAAACTGTCCGCCACGATTCTAACGTATGAGGCAAGCTAAAACTGCAAAATGTCAAGCATGTCGTCGCGCTATGACGATTTTAAAACAAAACTGATGCTGCAACGCTAAGTACACCTGTTACGTGCATATTCACCCTTGAGAGAGCTAGCTGCAGTATCGCTCACGCATATCTTTGCTTCAAGTTCCCATTCCCTCTCTCTCTCACTCACCCACTCACCGACTCATTGACTCACCCACTCACTCATTCACTCACTCTCCCACTCACTCACTCTCCCACTCACTCTCCCACTCACTCACTCTCCCACTCACTCTCCCACTTACTCACTCTCACACTCACTCTCCCACTCACCCATGCATTCACTCACTCTCCCACTCACTCACTCTCCCACTCACTCTCCCACTCACTCACTCTCCCACTCACTCTCCCACTCACTCACTCTCCCACTCACTCTCCCACTCACTCACTCTCCCACTCACTCTCCCACTCACTCACTCTCCCACTCACTCTCCCACTTACTCACTCTCACACTCACTCTCCCACTCACCCATGCATTCACTCACTCTCCCACTCACTCACTCTCCCACTCACTCTCCCACTTACTCACTCTCACACTCACTCTCCCACTCACCCATGCATTCACTCACTCTCCCACTCACCCATGCATTCACTCACTCACTCTCCCACTCACCCATGCATTCACTCACTCACTCTCCCACTCACCCATGCATTCACTCACTCATTCACTTATTTTCCCACACACTCATTCACTCACTCACTCACTTGACTTACTTTCCCACTCACTCATTGATTTACTTTTCTACATTGCTGTGTAGCTTGTCGTTATTGACTTTGGAAACTAGAGCACGGATTGACTGTACCTCAAAGTGCTTGATCCTCCTCTCCCATTTTTGAACGAATGAGAGTTTCTGTAAAATTTTTTCACTCCAAACTTTGAAAGCATCCATGCACACTTATACATACATGTACAGGATATCGCAGAATAGATTATACAACCCGAAATATAATATCAGAAGATCCCAGATGAAAGAATAAGTTGAAATATGATTTATCATGTTTTGCTTACTAATTAGAATTATCAATACTTTACATTAGATCGCCTAAAATATCTACGTTCTGTAAATCATCATGTAAACTAGTCCACTATCCAATATTTTTTTACCTACAATTATTAAACTTCTTTAACTAAATCTTCAACCCTTCAACGCAAAATCTTTTGCTTCGACCATACTACTTTAAAATTTACAATAATCCCTTCACTTATGACTTTTTTTGCTGACTATGAATTTAAGCGACTTACTGTTTTAGCATCGTACCAGGCAACAAAACGAATTAAAACGAGAGCGAGAATTAAAATTAAATTTCGCCATAAACATAACAATGAAAATCTGAGTCTGACTCGTTGCTCTAAGGCAAGAAGTTAAATTAAGATGAAAATTCATCGAATAATGCAAATTTCACTTACACAATACACGTGACGCAAAATCATTTGTTTCGGACGTACCACGTTAAAATTGCTTTTATCGAATTAAGACAGAAGCACAATACTTCAAATATCCAACAAGGATTAATTCAGAGGACTGCAAATCCACTAAAAGGTGCGAACTCCACAGTGCAAACAAATTTTCAAACCCACTTACGCAAACGACAGGCAAAGCGCCTATATTCACCGAGATCAATGAAACAGTGTTAACTAGATCTTCTTTTCCAGATAACTGTCACTTATATCTACGTTTATTATCTAACTGCCAATAACTGTGCCCCGTTTTAATGTCCATAATTATTAACGCGTTGATACCATATTTCTTCGCTAATGTGTTTGCACTTTAACAATTCTGAAGCTCCGCAATAATATCTTAGTGCCTGTAGCTACTAGCATTATGCCGTTCTGCCCAAGCAACTGTACGACGCTATGCGAACAATTATGCT